AAGCACCCACAGAGGAAGTCTGTGCTAAAGGTGGAATAATTTTATGAGCATTAACACATTGATTCTGAAGGTATCTCAAAGAGGGGAGTATACCAAAGAAAACAATCTGACTCTATTGTTACCTTTTTTAAAAAAAAATGTGATCAAAAGAATATTAATAACTACCAACCCATATTCCTATTTTCCCATCTTTATACAGTTTTATGATACTAATCTATACACACATGAACAGCATCCTTGATAAAAATATGAGAAGGGAACTGGTAATGCTTTTGTAAGTAGTAATCGACAGCCGGTCACATCTTTATAGTCACACAACTGACTGAATGAAAAGTAGGGGAAATACAAGATCCCATTGTTCATTGACTACAAAAAGGCTTTGATTTGATAGATCATCACTTCTTCCGACAAGGCATTACCCATGAATTTGTCAAAATCACACAAAATTCCTTGAAAGATATTGCAGCTGAGGTAATTTTATTTGATCCTCTGTTAATACCAAGTCAGACATAAAATGAGGCAGACTTACCAAAGATGCTTGCCACCGTCATTGAGAATGTCCAGAATAGAGTCCCCATGGAAGAAGGATTCCTTGTGGGTGTTGAAGTTCTTCATGTTCCTGTTTGCAGATGACATTGTGTTGATTTCATATGCCCTGGAACATTGCAGGGCTTCTTAAATGAGCTCTGCGGTGACTCGAAAGAGTTCATCCTAACTCTTCACACTGACAAAAACTAGTTGATGGAGCATGATGGAGCCTCTTGTCCAGACTGTGATTTATATTTGGATAGACAATCTCTCAGCCCATGTGCTTTGAACAGACACCAAATGAACAGGGAGTTGGGCCCAGAATTGAAAAGCAGAGCTTCCTAGATTCTAGCCTTTGGGAAATTGCATGGTACTTTTAATGAGCAACAACTTCTCCCTAAGAATTTTTAATGATATTCTTCCAGAGTCTTAGGATATCATAGTCACTGAGGAATTAAAGTTATTCAAAAGTCATTTGAAAAGCTCAAGGTGGCTTTTCCAATGTGTCGTCAAAGAGATGTATGACTGGAAAAGGTGGTTCAGTCATATAAGAGTGAGAGATGACTAATGATAGCCACCCCAGTGTGTAGTTCACCGGTATTCATATGATGTCATGGAATTTAGAGAAAGGCCCTTGAGGAGGAGATATGGAAGAACAAGGACAAGTATTGCTCAGGATGAGAGGCCATCGATGGGTTATAGTCTCCGTTGTTGGAGGGACTATCCGCATTGATAAGATCACAGGTTCACAGCAGTAGTATTAATTAATTATTTTTCAGGTGGAATTTTTTGTCTTCTGCCATTTGTACTTCTAATAAAGTTTATAGTATGATAGACCCATAGTCCTTTGTGAACTTCCCACAAGGCTTCTGAGATGCTAAACAGATCAGGCTAAATCACTGGTTTGCAAGAACCTGTCTTTGTGTTTTTTTTTTTTCCTTCTAGAATCAATATAGAAGCATTTATATATTCCATCTTTTTTTTTCTTTTTCTTTTTTTTTTTGGTGAGGCAATCAGGGTTAAGTGACTTGCCCAGGGTCACACAGCTAGAACATGTCAAATATCTGAGGACGGATTTGAACTCTGGTCCTCCTGACTCCAAGACTGGAGCTCTGCGCCACCTAGCTGCCCCTATATGTTCCATCTTGAATCTGTTGTTGCAAATGTTATGGTTTTTTTTTTTAACCAGTCATATGAATTTTATTATTATTTGAAGGAAAAACAACTTTTCTCTTCACCTGTGTTGCTTGGTGATTCCATTAGCTCCCATGGATTCAATTATCATCTCTAGGCTGAGGATCTACTTATTATCAGATCTACTTATCCATATCACACCTCTCTTCTCTCTCTAGTCTTTCATCTCCAACTCCCTATCACAATCTGGAACTAGATGTCTGATAAACATTTTAAACTCACCTAGTCCAAAACAACTCCCTAACTCCCCAACCCTTCTCCTCTTCCAGATTTTCCTATTTCAAGGTCAAGGGTGGTGCCACCCTCCCAGTCACTCAGGCTCACAACCTAGCTGTCATCCTTGACTCTTCCCTCACTGCCTCTCACTCCCTACATCTAATCAGTTGCCAAGTGCCATCATTAACGTGTTTCATGTGTGCTCCCATTCTCTCCTGTTACCATCAGACCCTCCCCTAAAACTTTTCAATCTAGAAACCTTAGGCTTTCAGAGAAGCTCTGCATTCTGAGGAACAGCAGCCAGCTCATAGATAAACATCTTTTAACTTGCAGTGTATTATCCCCTCCCACCTCTTTCCAGGCAACTAAAAGAAGAAACAAAATTTAAAATGAGTCTATCAAAGCAAGCACTCTGCCAAAGTCTCCACTACTCATATTTGCCAGAGAAGATACCTCAGACATTTACTGAAAGTTTACAAAAAAGCAAATAATTCTACTTCTTCATGCTGACATGAACAAAACCACTGGGCTATGGCAACATTTAGAAGAATTGTTTTTGCTCATTTGAAAAGAGACAAATCCAGGTGTGAACAGCAGAAGTTGATATAGGACTCTGAAAATGGACCTTGACAAATAGCTGCTTCTAAATAAAATTCAGTTCACAACATATGCAGTTAGTTCAGCGTTGGTGTCAAAAGTCCTGGGATTGAGTCCCAGCTTCATCACTATCCATCACTTATTAGCTATGTGACCCTAGGTAAGTTATTTGATATTTCTGAACCTCTGTTTCCTCATCTGGAAAAAGGCCATAAGAGATTTTTACTACTTTTTACTATAACTTACCTCCAGAGTTGTTATGGGAAAAAAGAATTACAATACACAAGGTCCAAAGAAAACGTGAACTATTTCCTTCCAGTTCCTATTTGTCCGTTGCCTTTGTTTCTTTTTCCCTTGGAGGAGTGGAGGTTGTTTTGGTCTTACATTATGAAACAGTATGGAATGTGGCTTTGCAGCTTTGTTGGTTATGTAAATACCCTCTGTGTAAAGTGAGGTGTGTATAGACCTATAGCTCCCACTAGTGGGGAAAAAACTACTTTAGAATCTGGGAGGCGTATTATTCAAAGGGAAATATAATTTATACAACATTTTGACATATTTTGTATACATCTGTGAAGGTTTATCAGTGTTTAAACTCATTAGCCATAACAACATTTAATTTCTGAGCTGCAACATCACATATTGCTCATTCCAGCTGCCCAAACTTGAGCTACCTTTCTTCTGCCAAGTGCAATGGGTTAGAATTGTATTGTCTCTGAAATGGCAGCCAAAATGGTTTAACCTTTTGTTATAGTATCATAGTTTTAGAAGCAGAAGGGACCCTTTATTCAGCCCCTTTATTCCGAATTTCTCATTTTACAGATAAGGATACTGAGGCCCAGAGGGAAAATGGCTTGTCCACAGACGTCCAAGTACTGTAATAATGGCAGACAGGATTTTGGAACTCAGATCATCTGACTTCAAAATTACAGTGCTCTTTCCCCCATTATACCACAATTATTTTGTGTATTTTCTCTATTAGCCTGTTTTTTAATGGTTAAGATTACAAAATGATTAGTGTCTATAATGACACATTTAAGTAAGAAAACAGCTTTGAGCAGGAAGTGTTGACCATTCTTCATAGATAAAGATACAGAACCTTAGAAATATCATGATTTATGTTTTCCTCAGAAGCATTTTGGCTGTAGAGCAAGAAATGTAGCTGACTTTTTCCATTTTTTTTGTTCCTTTTATTTTATATTCTTTCATCTAAGAGTTAAAAAAAAACACTTAATACTTAATCTCCAAAACTCTGCTGTTCATTTTAACATTTGGAAAAATTAAAAGCATTTTCTTTTCTATATTATTTGTCCATTCTAACAATGAAAAAATCTTGTATCTTGTAAAAATTACACACATGGCATGTACCCACCTAGAGCCAGATTTTTCTTTCTAGGTATATTGGATGTAGCAGAGTACTCCTTGGTTATGAAGAGGAAGAAAATTTCTTTCATTTCCATTTCCTGGTTTCTTTGCTCTAATAGCTCACCTTTTAGTTAGCGCATAGCTTCTAGGTAACACAACTACATAAACTGCTTAGGAAGCAGCAAAAAGATGGTAGGAGCTTGCTCTGAAGAAAACAGGGAGGCACATTACCAGCTTTATTCTAGTCATGATCATGAGTCTAAAAAAGGAGTAAAATTTTCTATCCTTTTTGTAAGCCTACATACTTCAAGGGCATCAATACTGGTATCCTCGCCATCAATGCATATTGCAACTGCAGCTCTCCTCTTTGTGACTCACACACAATTCAGAGATTATCTCATGAATTTTTGTGATCAAAAAATCACTCACTTGGTGCCCAACTCTTTGGTGATAAGCCATTATAAGCTTAGACCATTCCTCAGAGGATAGACATAAAGTCTGTTGTAAGGCCTTTTCTCTAAGCCTTTTCACCTTAGAAAAATTAGAAACAGTCAGAAATTGTGTTTTGCTGGCATTGCTTTTGAGACTCGAGTCACCTCCTTGCCATGAGACACCTGATGAGAGGTTCTTTTTCAATTTGGCTATAACCACATTTCCAATCTGTAAGTCACAGAGAGGAATACTACCTAAGGATGATTTTTTTTTCTTTTTGAGGATAAAATAACTTTAAAAGTTGGGGAGCTTTTCTCAGTATTTGAAAAGGAATGTGATTTATATAATGCTTTCTCTACTTTCTGATCTTCCATAGCACACATTGCTGTACCACGCATTATGGTGCTTGATTATGTTCTATTTGTTATTGTTCTCTAATTGTTTCATGTGTTTAAGTATGATCACCTGAATTGATTCCTTAAGAGCAAGTAGAATGTTTTATTTATTTCTGTTATTGGTCTTTCCTATTTTCCATATCTTAACGTAGTTCAGAACACATAGTTGGTATATGATAAGTACTTGTTGAACCCTGTTATTTGTATAGAGCTATAAGTGAGAGAGTAAAATGCTTTGGAGTGGTTTTCAATTCACTGATTTTCCTTTCTTAGATTTAAAGGTACAGTGGAAGAACTTAGCAGCCAGATTTTGTCTGCACGGAATTGGTTGCAACAGGAGCAAGAACGGATAGAAAAAGAACTTTTACAGAAGATTGATCAACTTGCCTTGGTTGTTAAGGAAAATAGTGTAGGTATCTGTTATTATGTTTGCATTACCTAATAAAATGACATTTAAAAATCCATATTAGGGACTGTTTTGGTTGTGCATACCAATAAACTGTCAGTTTACTTAATTTTATGTAAATTTTAAGGTTTTTTAAATCATAGAGTCTTTTTCTGTATTTTGTTTTTCCTTCATACTTTAAAAGAGACAAAGAGACTTAGATTTGTTTGGGCTTATTTATCCTGTATAGACAGATAAATTCAGGGACTTTGGACTAAATAAATTTAATTTGGGGTTATCCAAATTGATCATCCCCATTAAGCAAATAAACCAAGTAATATCAGCTGTTATCTTTTGACACTGGACTTTGTAGACACCTAACCTCAGAGATCTAGTTTTGGCTTTTCTATTATCATCGAGTAATTTTGTTTGCCCTAAAATCAAATATATCTGAAGAAGTTATATTTCCAAAAAAGTAGAGACAAAATTATAGGTGCCATTATTTTTCCTCATTTACTTCTGTCCTTGTGCTTAAGGACTGCTAGTAACTGCTCAGAGTTCCACAGACTAGTTTGAAAATTTGGTGTAGAACAAATTTTGCATGTGTAGGGATTCAAAGAGAATGATGATTGCTGGAATAGCTCCCAAGATATTGCAGATAGTCAAGAATTCCTAAGCTCTGGCTTTACATGGATTTGGTTCTGTCTTAGGGGATGTCCTTCCTCTCCTGCTTTCCCTCATAATACTCTTTGGTTCTTTATGTCCCCACCCAGAGTTTACTCCAGGAGACTTTTAATATAAACTCAGATATGGTCTAGGTTTCTACAGATGGGGGCAAGATATTTCCAACGAGGAACCTAGATTCCCTCTTAGCTCTTATGTACTCCCAGGACCTTTTTTGGAAGAAAATGAAAAAGGACTGAGAAGGTCTGATGCCACGCTTTCATAGGCCAGCACAAATAGGTGGCTCCTCCCTCAACAGTCTGTTAGTGTGACAGGGTATAGGCAACTAATTTATCTCCTTTAAACTAAACCCAGCCTCTGTGGGGCATGTCCACACCTTCCCTAGGAAGATACAAAGTCCCAAACAAAGATTAACTACTCTACAGCTTAAGTTGATCAGGGAACTTCCTTGACCAACCAGCTACACATCCCATTTTCAGAAGTTAATGGGCAGCAAAACCCTTTGGGTGATTCATTTTTATTAGTTTTTAACCTCAGACAACGTGACACAGTGAATTTGCAATCATAGGCCCTGTGCTTGAACTTCACTTTTGTAATGATTCCTCAGTGATCTTGGTTAATTCCCTTTACCTCTCTAGGCCTAATCTCTTCATCTGTAAAACAAGGAGGTTGTGCTCGATAACTTACATGATTTCTTGATCACTTATCAACATTATCCCACCATTTTTGTCTTAGCCAGCCCTTTCTCCTTCTGCTAATTTGTGTTTTGTTTTATCATTAAGCTAAGAAAAGTATTTGCTTGCTAGAAATACTCTGAGCTCATGTTTATAAACTCCCGGCACATGGTAGGCACTTGTGGATAGAGATATATGCTTGCTGATTGATGGTTGATTTGGTCAGTATAGTTTGACACAGGTCTCTGTTCTCCCCAAATTCAGTGCTCCTGAATTGACCATGCATGAATCTGGGTTAGTAATGAAGAAAATCATCAATGACTGGTTCCCTCTAATTTTGCCATACCACAGCCAGCATATTTGGGACTCTTAGACATGACCTCCATGAACCAACTCTTAAAGTAAGACAAACAGTGAAAAAGACTTATCAAGCTTCCTTCAGATCATCTGCTGGAATCCAACTGACCCGTAGTTTGACATGCATTAGATTCACATTGATTTCTTTAGACTCTGGGTATGTGAGACTTATACTCCTCACCTTCTCTCTCCCTCCATGGAATCAGGTGCCAAGCCCTGTTGTTGAATCTATCTCCACAATAGCTCTTAGGTTCCATCATCTCTAATCATACTACTATTACTCTAGTTCCTAACTTGGACTAGTCTTCCCCCCCTCCAATCCATCCTTCACACAGCTGCCAAAATAACTTTCCCTAATACACAGATCTAATCAGGGTAACTCCTTTTATTCAAAAACCTTCAGTGGCTCCTTAATGCCTAGAGAAAAAAAGACAAACTCCTTAGGCTGGTTTTCAAGGCCCTCCATCCCCTGGTGCTGGCCTTATTTTACAAAACTTGCATTTTCTGTGCCTTCTCCTGCACTTTTGCTGGCTCTTTCTCCTTTATGCCTGGCAAGCACTCTGTATCTCTACCTTTTGAAATCTTTTACTTCCTTAAGGATTAACTTAGTTGCCATTTCTTTTATTCTCTGATCCCTTCCAGTTGTAAAAGATTTTCCTGCATCTCAAATTTTCTTATGGTACTTCCTGTCTTTGTATCTTTCCCCTTGAACACCCGCCCTCTCCTACCTTCTCTATTACTGTAGAGGGCAACACCATCTTCTCAGTCTCTCAGGCTCACAACCTAGGAGTCAGTCTGGGCTCCTCACCATCTCTCACATCCTCTCCTCCATCTCCAAGCTATTGACAAGGCCTGTCAATTTCACCTTTTCAACATTTGTCGAATATATTACCTTCTCTCCTCTGACACTGCCACCACTCTAGTGCAGTTTTTCATCACCTCAGACCTGAATTATCATAATAGCTCACTGGTGGGCCTGCCCGCCTCTAGTCTCTCCTCACTCCCATCCATCCTCCATTCAGCTGCTAAAGTGATTTTCCTAAAGCCCAAGTCCAACCATGTTCCCTACTCAGTAAACTCCAATGGCTCCCTGTTGCCTCTCGGATCATATATAAAATACTCTGTTTAACATTAAAAACCTTTCATAACCTAACCCCCTCTTACCTTTCTAGTCTTCTTACACTTTAAAATCCAACTATATTCTTTGATTCAGTGATGCTGGCGTCCTGGCTGTTCCACAAACAAGGCACTTTGTTTCTCAGCTCTGGGCATTTTCTCTGCTTGTCCCCCAATGTCTGGAATGCTCTCCTTCCTTTGCTCAAACTACTGACCTCTCTGGCTTCCTGTAAGCCCCAACTAAAATTTCACCTCCTATAGGAAGCCTTCCCAAATCCCTCTTAATTCCAGTGCCTTCTTTCTAGTAATTATTTCCTGTTTAGCCTGTATGTCTCTTGCATTGTAAATATTTGTTTGCAAGTTGTCCCTGTTATTGGATTGTAAACTCCTTGAGGGCAGGAACTGTTTCTTTTTCTTATTTATATCACTGGTGATTAGCACAGTGCCTGGAACAGGGTAGGCACTTAAATGTTTGATTGATTGATTTTTACCCTTATTCTCATTTTTATATGTCTGCTTCCTTTCCCTGTTTCTCGATTCCCCACTGGATAATAATTTTCTTTAAGGCAAGAACTGTTGTTTCCAGTCATTTTTAATTATTCAATCCTCATTGCCTAGTACCATACCTTGAACATTGTAGGTGCTTAACAAATGTATTAAATGTAATTGGCCCATTGTTTATGTTCATGTCTAGCATAGAAATTAAGTGACATCAATACTCCCCACATGGAATGCAGTTTCATTCTAGAAGTGATTAAGTGCAGTTATTTTCATCCATCCTAGGAAATCAGTGAAAGGACCATGGAGAAGAAGTTCAGTCAGATGTCAGCAAAGCTTGATAAAATAGAAGAGATACAGAAGAAAAACATGGAAGCACAGAGACTGAAATCTGATGATGAGAAGATCAATATCCGAATCAGTAAGATTGAATTGCAGATGAATGAAGAGATGAAAGAAATGAAAGCAGAAGTCAATGCTGGTAGGGCAAATAATATATAATTATAGTTTATGTTCTCTTTGATGTAAAAACAAAATGATTTGTATCATTCTCTACAATGTTCTAGAAACTATGTCAATAGTAACAGTAAATAAATAAGTAAAAGTAAGTAAAAAACAATAAGTAAAAGTAAATTAACATTTACTATGTTAATAGTAAAAGTAGTGTCCCAAAAGTATACCAAGCCACTTTCCTGAACAGTTATGGTGTATTAATATATAAAAATGGTTTTGAAATTCCATAGAAACAATTACCCTTTGCTGGCCAAAGTAAGCTGTTACCAGCATTTTGTAAAGGACTGTGTCAGGAACCAACTTGTGGTAGCAACTTAACTTGCCTCTTTAGGTTTCCTCTTTTAGTCAGACAGACAGTGAGAAAGTTGCTAGCATAATATCCAAGGTCTCATTATGATACAGAATCAGTATACACCTTCCTCTGCCTTTTAGGGTATAAGGAAATCTAGTCTTTCGTGCTTCTGGGGCAGGAAACATGATTTTCAACGTATTTCACTGACCTGCTTGTGGTACTTGTGCTGTGTATGAAGGAAGTAATTCTCCATATGTGCTAATTTGTTTTTCTTTTGCCAGGTGGAAATTAAAATTATTTATTAGTTCAGGAATGACTTTTTTGAAAATATTAAAGGTTTAATACTATTTTGAAAGGTAGAAACTGACACTCAATGTATAAATTAGATAATTGCTTGGTAATATAGTTCTGTAGAAACTACTTTCTTGGGCTATGATATTGTCCAAATAGGTTATTGAATTACTTAGGGAAATGTCTATTGGATTATGTCACAGTATAATTAATTCTTGTTGGAGTATTTTATTAGCATTTAATTTTGTATAATTTCATGAATTAGTTTATGGGCATACTTTCAATATACCACTGAGGTAATTAATAATAAGTGGCACAGGGAATGTTAATGTGTCTTTCCCTAACCATTTCCTAAAAAGTTACTTTTCAGTGTCAGAGTCTTTTAAATATAAGGTTGAAATTTCATTTTGAACTTGTTTCTGCAATCAGTAGGATTGCATTATAATCAAAATTTCTAATTTTGATATAGAATTTAGCCTTGATGCAGCATTTGAAAATTTTTAATTTTTGTGAAATTTACATCTTTATAAGGGTTTGCTGCCATCTATGAAAGCATAGGATCACTCAGACAAGTTCTTGAAGCCAAAATGAAACTTGATAAAGACCAGATACAGAAGCAAATTCATCAGCTAAAGAAACAAGAGGCTCCCATGTAAAGAGATTTGGGACAGTGATGATCTAAAAGAAGAGTTTGTCAGTGGGGCTAGGAGCCTGGATGTTTGTCAGTATGGTTTGCTCTGTGCAGGATGTGCATGTACAAAACAATGTGTCATGGGCCTAAATTTTTTACTTGAGTTGTGAAGACAATCTTTAGGTGAGAAGAGTAAGTACATTTTTTATAACCTAATTTCACTTATAAATATAAATTCTATGGAATTTGTTCCATTTTGGAAAGGCTTTTATTCATTTTAAGACTGAAAACTCTTCAAAGTATTTTTCTTCCATGAATTAAAATTTTAAATTATTATGGTAATACTTTAAGACTGTTTATCATTTTTAAAATGTCAGTATGGAGGTTTATGTTAGTAAGCTAATGAATTTGTTAGAGCGGTTGGTATGCAAAAGATTTCTCTTGACAGAAGAGATAATTCAATGTTTAAGTCCATGTTTGGATTTTATTGTTGTCTATACATTCCCTGCTTTATTTGCTTCCTTTAATTCTTCTTTCCCTTTACTTTGGAGTTTCTATGATAATTTGAGTTTTCAATTTAAAAAAATTGCAATTTATTCTATTGGGATTCAGTACTACTTGAATCCAATTCAAATAGTATAAGGGGTTCATAATGCTTCTTCAACTGCCATATTATTATCTATTTGAAAATCAAGTAGACAATGAAGATAATTTTCTGGAAAATGTAGAGCCAAAAATTTCTTAAATTATCTGGATATTTCAGATTCTAAAACAAAATTTGAGTTATCTGAATACTTTTTAGCTCTCCACAGCTTGTGTGATGAGAACCTTATTCTTTATAATGGAATTATGGCTCACAATAAGCTGTTTATGCAGAATTCCACATTAACTACAATATGACGTGAGGGTTTTTCAGGATTTTTATGAACCATTTCCTAAATGTTTCCAAAATGAAGCTTAAAAATCTAGAAGAATACTTTGTATATTATAATAATTATTGTAAGTGTATTATTGTGCCTTGTTTTTGTTATGTCAATGCACTGTACACTGAAGGTTTTGCTGATAAAATAGAAGGCATGATAATTCAAAAATGTGATGTAAAAGTGAGATGCTATGTATTTTAATTGTATAATGTACTGGAAATTTTATCATTGTTAAAATATGATACTTCAGTATATTCTTTAATGAAATAAATAATTCATACTTTTGTATGGACAGGGATTCAAGCTAGCGTTGAATTTATAACATTGTTAAGATATTTTCATCCAGATGAATGAATTTTTATGTTTTAGGTGTATTATTTTCAATTGCTACATTTAATTATAAATTGAAAATTAACACCTATGCTGTAATCTAATCTAGATGCTTATAAATCTATGGATGTAAGATCTATACTGAGAAAACCGTTCTAAACTGTGAGGGTGCTGTAGAAAAAAATAAAAATAGGGATTATTTTAAATTTTTTTGTTACTTTATTTTATTTATTTATTTTTTTTGCTAAGGACTCAGGAAAAGAAGCACCTTCTGTTTTTAAGATTAGTCATAAATGAATCATTCAACTGGCTACTACTGTTTGCACTTGTAAAATATGCTACTAAAACACATAACATTCTTCCTCCTTGCCTCGGCAAAGATTAAAAAAAAAACCCTAGGATTAGATGGATGACATTAGTAGTTGTAGACATTTGACCACCAACCTATATTTTCTTTACTTTGATTCTAGCCTCTAAATGAGTATATCCTCTACAACCCCCCAGAACTGTTTCTCCTTTTGAGGTAGAAACCAATCCTAGTGGAGCCCTTGGGTCCTCTCTATAGGCACATGGTGATTGGGAGCAGCTGGCTGGGATGTGCTGTAGTGGTATCTTCTCTCTTCTGGGCTGAAGAGGGTATGTGAGGTCATACCCTCTCAGGCTTGTCTGAGCAGGATGGGTGGAGTATGTGTAAATTGGCCGGACACATGACAAGGATCTTGTGTCACCCTGGAGTCCAGGATCCTATGGCCATGGTTCTTTTCATATCCTTGGACCCAGGATACAGGCATGGGATTGAGCTTCTGGGGAAATGGGTTAGTTTGTTAGGGCTTCATTTGGGTGGCACAGCTTTACATCTACATATGCTAAGCAAGGAGAAAAAATGCCAATCACTACAAAGAAAACAATATTCTTTGAAAGTATGAAATTATTTTATCTCTTTGGCATTATAGTCATTTAGGCCAATTCCCTTTCAAGTCAGGTACACAGGATAAATGGCGATGGGAGCTTTGTCCTTCCTTAGCTGTTGATCTGTCCATTCCTGAGGAGGGAGCATCAGTATCCATGAACTTCTTTAAAAGAAGTGATCAATGCCAAATTAGGTTCTTAATGAAGGAGAGACCACATGAGAGCAGATGATAATCAGCTGTGTGCTGAATTTCTCAGGTGCTTCTGATGTCATGGTCCTTCATGTAATGAGCTGTATTTTAGTCTTATCACCAAAGTTTAAATGTAAAACATCTCCAATGTTATTTTCCTTTATCAGAAATTTGTAATAAACAGTGCCATAAAAACCCCACATGTAAATTCTATGTATGGTTTTAATAAAAAATGGTTAAATTTGGTGTGTTGGACTTAACTCTGTAGAATGCTGTATGAAGTGATGTTACCCAAGCTTAGTTTCCATGGATACCATGTGTTCATTAAACTGCCTGTCTATATGAATTCCTCAGTGATACAAAATTCTCTACATATTCTTTACACTGTCATAGTTCCTGTGTTGTGTGGTTGCCTTGTTACAAAATTCTTATATTTTTAAGTAATTAAATCTCTTCAGGAGGGTCCAAAATGGATGAGATAGGGTATACCAAACTCCACTCTATAGATGTTACAATGAACTTTTAAATTTATAATGGATTTATAAGGGACAATTTTTAGTTCATGAAAGTCTCATTGATTTAGTTGATACAATGGCTTCCTCATGCTGTTGCATAAATGTATCATGCAAAAAGATATCACCAATAATATATTTGGTTGATTTTTTTTTTTGGTACACCACATAACTTTTCTTTAATATAGGGCTTTAATGCAAAAGTCTAAGGGTCACTAAGTACTGCTCCTGCAGGTGGATGCCTATTATGGATCACAGGGTAAAGAGTGGGAATTTAAGTACACTGAGACAAGGCTGAGTGTACAGAACAGGGAAGGGGTATGGGAAAAAGCTGGACTTGGGCCACTTTGTAGAAACTAGTGGTGAAAGTTTTAATCTGAAGACTGGAAGCAGGTGAGCAGTGCAGAGTAAAGCACAAGCAAAGTCATGGGTCATTTCCAGGAGGGCAAGCTGAATTCAGAGGATAGACAAATATTACAGATCAGGGCAAATAGTAGATTGGAGAGCAGGCAGAAAAGATCAGAACTGGAAGGACACAAATATGAGGAGAAAGAGCAAGGTGGCTAGTTAAAATTAAGCCCAGACAAATAGAGAGTCAGCAATCATGGCATGTTCAAGAAGTAAATTATAACAGGATTCAGTCAGCACCTCTATGCAGGTAATTTTCAGATTTATCTATCCAGCGTTAATCTTCAACTCAGACTGTGGTCCCACATTTCCAAGTACGTGCTGGACATCTCCCCATTAATGTCCCAATTCATCCCTCAAAATGGACATGAATTCATATCTTTCCCCTTTAAACCCACCTCTCTTCTGAATTTCCCTGTTTCTTTTGAGGATACTAAAATGCTCTCACTCATTAAGATTCAGAGCCTCAGAATCATCTTTTTATTTTTCCCTTCTTCCTTTCTCAAGCCACATATCTATTTGCCAGAATTATTTTCACAAGACACAGGTCTGACCATACCACTCCCTTGTTCAAAAACCTTCAGTGACTTTACATTGTCTTTCCCATTGACAAGTCAAAAAAGTGCTTTTTGAACCTTAAATCACTATTTAAATATCAATTATAATCTAGTTGGTATAGGGGGAAGAACGTTTAATTGGGAATCAGGAGGGATCTGGGTTCAAGTGTGACCTTTGCTGTTTACTAATTGTGTGATTCTAGGACTGTTGTTAGGAATAAAGTTAATGTGGTTAAGATGTCCTGGAAGTTGGAGTGCTGGGCCAGCCACCGAATCATCTTGCCAGGAATTGAGTTAGTCATGGCTTTTGGAGAAGGATGAGAGGTGGGTGTTGCCAGTGTTTGGCAAGATTGGCCTGGTGAGCATAATAATACATGTACAATGCTTTGCAAACCCTTAAGTGCTGATTAAATGTCAGTTGTTCTATTGAGTAGAACTGTTTGTTAGTAATCTGGAGGACATTCTTGAAAATTCATTTCTTCTTGGTCAAATAAACCCTTTTGAAATTTGACATAAATGCATTACTTGGGCAGGTATCAAAGGAATAGCTGGACATAAAAGCTTTAAGTGTGCTATGATGATTAAAATGTCATCAAGTATAAGTGATCATGAATTGATTCAGGAAGTTCTACTGGGTATTATTATGAGATCTTGAAATGTGACTGAGGCATTGCAAAATTCAAATGTCATTGTCCAGCATGTAAAATACTATTTTGTGGGAAATTCTTCTTTCTACTCAGGCTCTGTCTTGCTCTGCACTAGCTTGCATGTTCCTATGCCTGTTTGGTCTTAGCATGTGCAGCAAAGGGACAGCTACTTTATATTGTAAACTATTTGAAGGTTCTGTCAGTCATCAGTGCAAAGATACAAGCCTTGCCCTTCTTACCTATGAAGAAAGTTAGAATTCCTGCTTTCAATGAGTGGATAAAACCCCATTCCAAATTTTCCCAGATGTACCCTCCAGCTCAGGGGCAGAAGAGAAGTAGTTCTGAGGAAAGTGCTTGCTTTTTCAAAGACAAAATAAAAAATCCTTTCTTCCTTCTTGTGAGACAATTGGGGTTAAGTGACCTGCCCAGAGTCGCACAGCTAGTAAGTATTATAGGGCTGAGGCCAGATTTGAACTCAGGACCTCCTGACTCCAGGGCTGGTTCTCTATCACTGTGCCACCTAGCTGCCCCCCAAATCCTTTTTTTCAAGGAACTTAGATTATGTTGGGAAACATCACAGCATTTTTGTTCTTGGTTAGAAATAAATTAGGTAGTTATATAGTTAGTTTGGGAAAGACAACACTCCCCTTTTGTTCAAGATGTCTGGAAGTCAGTGGCAGGATTCTGGGACAAACTTGCCAAGCTTGGTGATAGCTCTTGTTGCTGTGAGGATGAGAGCTGGGTGTTGCCAGTAACAGGCAGGACTGGTCTGGTGAACCTATT